TATTGTCTGGCCCATGGCTAGAAGGCAGAATTTCCCTATAAGAACCCCCGGATTTTAGCAGACCTCGTGCTACCTTGGAAGTGCATGCTGGAACTCTATTGGTCTGTGCTCTGAGATAGTTCCTGCGACACCCCCCCCCTTGCTGGTCGTGCCCCTTCCACAGAGCTCATCTTCATTCGCCGCCAAAGCCCAGAGGAGTAAGTATATCCTCTGTCCTGGTCTTTCTCTCTTTGCCTTCCCTGTTCTCGCTCTTCCCCCTGCTTATTCCTCTAGCATGTGTGTGTGTGCCGCACTTGGATGTTTGCTTATTTTGTTAATAAAAGATTGCATACTTTAATTGGAGCTTGGTCAGTCTCAGTGTCTTTCCTAGCCAAAAACTCTTATATCTCCCGTAGACAATTGGATAAGATCTTAGAAGCGAAGTTGGATGCTTCCCTCTCATTTGAGCTAATTATAAATTCCCCAAAATTAGGTCTTGGTTTCACCTTGGAAGACTTTTGTACCTGACAGTTGCCTCTGTTTTTTTGTATCTGATAATTGCCTCTGTATGGATATATGGGTATGGGTAGAAGTGGAGTTGGGCATGGAAGTCAGAAAAACACCAGAGCCCATAGGGCGAGGGTGGGAATCATGCATTCATTCAGATGTTGTTGGACTGCAATTCCCAGCAGTTGCATCCAGCAGGGTGAGGAATGCTGGGAGCTACAGTCAAACAACATCCAGAGGGCTGCATGTTTTGCAGCCCAGCTTTAGAACTCTTACATCCTTTATTCAAACACAAAACAGGATCAAATAAGGACACCTATAGGAATAATGAGCAGGCACAGAAAGGTCAAATGTTCTCTTTTTGCCTTCAAGGAAAGCATCAGGCTGAGTGGGACTGCATATCAACTGATAAAGAATGGCTTTGGGGGAATATATTATATTGAACTGCCTGCTAGATTCAAGAACTATGATGAAGGTCAAGAGCTTGTCCCATAGTTCATGTAACCGATATCTTGCATATTTTAGAATGTTTGTGGTGTGCTATCTGCCTGTAATATATGTTTTTAGTTCTCAGATGCCAACCTTGTTATGACTAGCTGGGCAATGGTAGTTGGACCTTGACTTCTGGGTTCTTTTTCACTCCAGAAGTTAGTTAGTTATGATCCATTCTAAATCTATGAGTAGTGGTGCCATTGCAAAATTCAGTTGTGAACATAACTGTTGTTCCATATTTTTCTGAAACAAAAAGAGGCAGCAGGGGCTCTTTGTGATCTTTCATTCTCCAATTCCCAAGACCTTGAAGAAAAAGATCTCCTGTTATTATGTGCCGTCAAGATGTCTTTGACTTATGGCAACCCTAGGAATGAGAGACATCCAATATTCCTTTTATTAATTGATCTGCTCAGGTCTTGCAAGCTCAAAATCTTTCATTGAGCCTTTTAGCCTCATTTCAGCAAAATCTTTGTACATTAGTATATTATTCTAGTATTTTAGTATATTATAGTGCTGTGTTTTATTGTTTTGTTCTTGATTATATATGTCTGATGTTCCACCCTTTGGTAAAAAGGGAGTTATAAATAAATGTTGTTATTGTTGTTGTTGTTCTTATTATTATTATCAGAAAAGAGTCTTACAGCACTTTGAAACATTGGCAATTGGTGGCTTCCATGTCCATGGGCTACTGAATCTTTTCTGGACTTTAGCTGAAACTTTAAAGAAGTTGTCCAAGGTGCTAGATCCAGGTTAGATACCTTGGATAGTGCCCAAAAAGTTCAGCCTGAAACTATGAAGTTTATCACATGGGGGTAAAGTGGTAATTTAAATGGTGATTAACCCATCAAAATCGTGCAATCGAGATTAAAACGTGATTAAAACACGATTAACCTTTTCACACACAAGAGCCATTATCCCAGGAATAACCAGGCAGTAATCAGGCAACAAACAGCAAAAAATCATTCATGGGAAAATCCTGTGAATGATTTGTTGCTGTTTATTGCCTGGTTATTCATTGGATAGTGGTACTTCGATTGCTTTTTACCACTATGTCGTGTGAAAACCATTAGTGCAATTGTGCAATTATTATGGGATATTCCCCAGATAATCATGCTTTGAACACAACGTGATGTGAAAATTTTAATTGCGAATGCATGATATTAATGGGTTAATTACCATTTATACTTCCAATTGTCCCCATGTGATAAACTCCATAGAGCGAATTCACCACCCTACTGACACAGAAGTCAGTCAGCTTAATTGCTAATGCTTATGTTAAAGTCAATCTATCACAAAAACTGAGAAAGTTACTAGCATGCCATAGTCTTCTATATTCTTATTACTAAAATAGAAAGTAGGAAAATACATCTGCACATTCTGGGCCTCTGGTAACACTGCAGTAATTTCCTTCGACATAAGCCTTATGTTCAATGTTCCTTTCAAATTTCCTTCAACATAAGCCATTTTCCACAGAGGCCACATGATGGCAGTCTGGCCACATTAAAAAAAAAAATTAACCCAGCCTTGAATTTTTGATGCAACAAGTTAAATATTTTTAACTCTTAAAAACAACTTGTAACAATTAAATTAAAGGCAGCCCACCAGATGTTCAGTAACATCCTGTTCTTACTCCTGGCTTAGAGCTGGAAATGGGGAGATTAGAAGCATCAGGCAAGCCACAATGTATGGCTAGTGGCCCATCCTGAGCCTGGTGACTCAAGAAGTTTTACATACTGATCAACAGCAATGTTAATGCTTCTTATTCTTTACTATGTGTTACCTTAAAGTGATGAGCCATCTTTGCTTTTGCTAAAATGCTTGTTTAGGGCAGGAGTGTACAAATCTATCAACCCTGAAGGGCAAATCTGGAATATTCTGGAGGGCCACATGAGCATGCATGCATGCACCCCCACATTCTAGTGCATGCACATGTACACAAATGTAATTTTGTCATTTATGTTTTTCCAAGGCAGGCAGCATGGTGTAGTGGTTTGAGCACTGGACTACTATTCTAGAGACTAGAGTTCAAATTCCAGCTCAGCCATGGAAACCCACTGAATGACCTTGAGTAAGTCATACTCTCTCAACCTCAGAGGAAGGCAAAGGCAACGCCCCTCTGAACAAATCTTGCCCTTAGGGTCTCTACAAGTCAAAAACATCTTGAAGGAACACAACAACATTTTCCCAATAGAGAATTTCTTAATTGTTGGGGAAATTCCCAATTTCCAACAAACTGCAGCTCAGTTCTGAATGTCTCTACTTGAAGTACCTGTAGGTTCAGGTAAAAAGTACCTGGGCAACCAGCCCAGCTTGCATTGCTGTCTCATGTTTTCCCCACAGCCCAAGTGATGAGTAGGGCCAGAGAGAAAAGTGACTGGAGTTGTACAAACTGGGGCCGACAGGCACATGTGGTTCTTCCTTTATGTAAGAGCTGGATATGATGCTTGTCTGATCTGGGTGTGAGTTAGGTCTGTCTGGCTCAATCCAGGTCATGAATTTGCCTTTGCTACCTTTCAGCTCTGCTGTTAGGCTTGGGACTGAAAGGTACTTCATAGTCCCACTTCACCACATATTGTATCCCAAAGAGATTTTTAAATGGTGTTTTTTGGATTATACTTTCTAGATTCTCACTAGGCAGCATAATTGCCTCAAGGCTGCTTGATGTCCACCATCACTGACATTAAAAGCTCAGGTCATCTACAGTTATTACTTAGGGCTGCTGATTTCTACAAACTGTTCTATAATTTTTCACAGTCATGTTTGTTTTAGTCAGACTCATCAGAGGTTGGAACAGTTGCTTTTTTGGACTACAGCTCTGAAAATTTTCCAGCCAGCATGGCCTTGAATCATTTTGATCATGGAAGATATTCAGATGGGCAATGGTTCCCTGATAAGATACTTATGAAGTCTCATACACTATGTATGGTATTCTAAATATTGATGTGTTGGTTGCTGCCGTAAATGTTCTATAAGTGTCCAGTTTATAGGGCAGAACAGTGATATTTCAGCACATTGCTGTGGAATTCCATAAAATGTTTTACAAGCTACTGAAACCATGTATATCATAAAAGGTAATGTAGTGGTGCTCAGAACCAGAGTTTTTTTTTTAAAAAAAAGTTTGTTCATTTATAGTGACACCCATTAACACACTCTTTTCTTGAGTGACTAATAGCCACCCCTGAGCTCGAGAGAGAATTATGTTGAACCGTTCATAATAAAATTGTTGGATTCTTGGTAATGGCCAGAAATACATTCCACATATATTAAACCCCTTTTTGGAATTTTGCCTGTCAACACTTCTTTAATAACCACAAACCTCTCCAGAGAATTATATTCTGGATTCTAGAATTCATCAGGGTCTTTTAGTAACACCTTTTTACTCTTTTCTAGTCTTTTCCTTTTAATTCATCAGGTTTTTTTTTTCTATTTAGGAAGGGGATGTCTGAGACATTTCACAGACTGGCCCACACATACCTCATCTGGCAGTGCCATTGCCTGTAAAGACCTCACAGTATGTTCATTCAGGCCCATGACCGCTCTTGCATGACAGGCGAAAGGATCTTTTACAGTACATTTGTGTATAAAAATACCTACCAATTATATACCAGCGATATATTTTGGAATATTTATTTCTGTTTAAAAATAGACAACTTTAAAGCCTAAATCTAATTGTTCACCTCAGTTAGAGTAAACCTATTGAATAAATGCAAACTTGTGAAACTTCAGTTGATTCATTGGGTCTATTCTTGTTGGATTTAGGTTTAAGTATTTAACATTCTACTTTGACACTTGTCTACTTCAGTTACCTTTCTAGCAGAATTTATTTTAAAACAAGCACATATCTCTGTAGGATTGCATGACAATTATAGTTAGTTGTTTTCTATAAAAGAAGCTACCTATACATTTGGTTATATAACCATTCAAACTGTTATCTGATATAACCAAATATATTACCCAATATATTATACATTTCTGCCATGAATGCTTACATCATCTCAGTCAGAGGCCTCATACAGGGAATAATCAAGGCTGCAATCCTATGTAATCCAATACCACTGCAGTCCAAATTCTCCTACAGGCTCTGAGTAGACATGCCTAGGATTACATTGTAAATGTTAGGACCAGAAAGCAATCCTTCACCTGACTGCCACTTTCTACATCTGTATCTCATTCTATACTGGGGGTTGGAAACTGCCCCCTCAGGTGTAGAAAGGACTGCTGAACATGTGGCCCTCCAGATTTTGTGGGTATCCATCTCCTGCCAGCCCAAACCCCACTTTGCTGATCATAAGGCATGATGGATTTACAGTGCAACAACATGAGGAGAACCAAATATTCCCCACCCTGTTCTTGCCAGTGAATAGTTTTAAAGCATCCCAGTTTATGAAACAGTAGAGGCACTAGAATTATCACTTTTTAAATATTTTTAAAACAGCTATTTATCAGATAAAAGTGTTCCTACCATGGAGGATAATGGTGGTAAAAAATGATATGGTAGAACTCTGGAGGGGGCCTTATGTATCACTGTTTCTCTCTGAGAGCTAGATTCAACAGAATCTGGCAGACTGCATGTACACCAGACTGTTCTTCAAAAAACAACATTATTCTTCTAATAGATGGAATGAACTCTGATTCCTGCACAGTGTCCGTTCACACTACCCAGTTATAGCACTATGATTCTACTTTAACTGCCATGGTTCCATTCTGTGGGATCCTGGGATTTGCAGTTTAGGGAGGTTTGCAAGGAATATTTAGAATTCTCAGCCAGAGACTTCTTCTGTGCCTCACCAAACTGCAGTTCCCAGGATTCCATAGAAAACAGCCATGGCATTTAAAGTGGAATCATAGTGTTATAATTGGGTAGTGTGAAAGCCCCCAAGGTTGAATAGCCTTCAATGTTATTATCTGTGAAATAAAAACCAAAAGGTGCCTTTTAAAAATAAGACTAACTTTAAAGACTCTGATTCTTTAATCAATGTAAGATTTGATGTAGACCCTTCACTGTTCTAATGATTCAGCACCTAAGAGATACAGAATCACAGCTTTTCAACACATATGTCACCCTTTCATCCCACTGAGAATACAAGCTAGCCCCAATATGCAGTACTTCAGCTTGAAAAAGTGGGTGCTCTCTTCAAAGAAGCTGAATATTGACTGTTTTTATTACTGCTAAATCCACCAATTCTAAATTTCATGCCAATTATTTTGCTACCATATTAGCTCCCCACCATTGTCAATATTGTTCCTGTCCCCACTTCATTCAAAAATGGTCATCTTCTACATGCTGAAGATGGCAGTAGAAGGCAAAAAAAGAGGATATATTTGAATGTTAGATGGGAAATCCATTCACTGCACTGAAATTCTATCCATTTTGTCTCCAAACTGTGTTAGATTTCCTGGAACCTTAAATTTTTATGGTTGCATATGATGAAACATTAAAATATTATCAAGGCTTTTGTTTTTGTATGTTCACACTGGTACCTCTGTTGCCATGTTACCTTCCCGAGGGAGAAAGCAGTGCATAAAATCTCTTGGAGAACAATAACAAAGTAGATTAGTTCTCTTTGCTGATCTCACTTTTGCTTCCTGGAAGCTTTTGTTCTTGTTAGACCAAAGCACCAACTACTCTTGAACATTCAGCATTGTTAGCTTTTCTTGGGAACAAGTCTCTCTGTTTGCAAAGATGCAAATTAAAGCTCAAGTTATCCTTAGAGATAACTACTGCTTTATTTTGTTTTCCTTTTGGTCACCCTCAAGACTGATTTAAATTGACATTACACACCTACTTGACTACTGAAGTGCAAGCTTTTGTGTAACTACTCTCTACTTTTCAGGAATAGGAAATTTCTTCCAGCTTCCAGGTTCTATCCTATGGAATCATAGAATCATAGTGGGAAGAGACCCCAAGAATGATCCAGTCCAACCCCTAATGCAGGAATACATAATCAAATCACTCCTGAAAGATGGCCATCAAGTCTCTATTTAAAAACTTTCAAAGAAGGAAACTTCACTACACTTCAATGTAGCATGCTTCACTGTCAAACGGCTCTTAATGTTTAGGTGGAATCTCTTTTCCTGTAGTTTGAATCCATTGCTCTGGGTCCTAGTCTCTGGAGCAGCAGAAAACAAGCTTGTTCCATCCTCAATATGACATCCTTTCATAGCCCTGGTGGTGCAGAGGTTAAATGCCAGTACTGCAGCCAAAGGTTGTGAGTTTGATCCCAGGGCTCCAAGGTTGACTCAGCTTTCCATCCTTTCATAGGGCAGTAAAATGAGTAGCCAGCTTGTTGGGGGCAATTGTCTTACAAGATTGTAAACGGCATTTAGAAATGCTGAGTTCACTGATAAGTGGTATAGAAATGTGATCACGATTGCTATTGTTATTGCTATCCTTTCAAAAATTTAAACGTGGCTATCATGTCATCTCTTAACCTTCACTTCTCCAGGATAAATATACCCAGCTCCCTAAGTTACTCCTCATAGGGGATGGTTTCCAGGCCTTCCACCATTTTGGTCACCTTCAACTGGACACACTCCAATTTGTCAACATCCTTCTTGAATTGTAGTGACTAGAACTGGATACAATATTCCAGGCGATATTGGGAATTTGAAGTTTAGGGAGGGGTGTTTAGAAGTCTCAGTCTGAGAGCTCTAGTGCATCATTAGACTACAAACCCCAGGATTCCATGGGATGTTGCCATAGCAGTTAAAGTGGAATATAGTTCTATAATTGTATAGTGTGCAAGAGCACCCAAGCATCTGTAGCTGCAAATCCTGACCTAGAAGTCAGCTCTGCTGAAATCAGAGGGACATGGTCGATACTACATTCATGCTGAGGTAATTAACATGTCTCCTACTGGAAACGAGTCTTAGGGCATCTACAGACGGGCCCTTTGGGCCGTTCTGGAGGCAGGGATGGGGAGGGGCAGCCACACGCTAGCTGCCTTAACCCCTCCCTGAAGACGTCCTGATACCATGCGCCATTATGCATGGAGTACGGTGTCATGATGTCCTTCTGGCACAGCCTTTTGATGCACCAGAAGG